AAAAAAAAAAAAAAGAAGTGGCACCTGTACCTCAGTGGGTAGAGAGTCAGCCACATACACCGAGGCTTGCGGGTTTGAACCCAGCAAGGGTCAACTAAAATCAACAATGACAACTGCAACAAAAATATAGCCAAGCGTTGTGGCAGGCGCCTGTAGTCCCAGCTACTTCGGAGGCTGAGGCAAGAGAATCACTTATGCCCAAGTGTTTGAGGTTGCTGTGAGCTGTGACACCACAGCACTCCACTGAGGGTGACAAAGTGAGACTCTGTCTCAAACACAAAAAAGAAAAGGAAAGAAAAATGCAGAAGGATCTTTTTTTTTTTGAGACAGAGTCTCACTTTGTTGTTCTCAGTAGAATGCTGTGGCATTACAGCTCATAGCAACCTCTAAGTCTCTTGCCTTGACCTCACAACTAGCTTGGACTACAGGCACCTGCCACAATGTCTGGTTATTTTTAGAGATGAGGTCTTGCTCTGGCTCAGGCTGGTCTCAAACCTGTCAGCTTAGGCAATCCACCCACCTCAGCTTCCCAGAGTGCTAGGATTATAGGCATGAGCCACTGTGCCTAGCCTCAAGAGGATGTCTTAAGCCCAGAGTTTGAGGTTGCTGTGACATATGATGCCAACCCACTTTTCCAAGGGTGACAAAGTGAGACTCTGCCTCAAAAATAAATAAATAAATAAAACAAAGTAGACAATGTTATTACACTTTGAGTAGCAGTAATAATAGTCCCTATTAAGTACTAAGTACTAATATTAATTTCTCTATTTCACAGATAAGGGAATAAAAGCAGAAATAGATTGTCAGAAAGAGATGACATGGCCAGTAAATGGCTGAATTGGGGTTTGAATTCTTGTTTCAATAACACCAACATCTATGTATGTTCCACTCTACTGACCTGAGAATAAAATTTCACCACCTAGATAGATATATAAAAGTTATTGGTTCTTAGGATAAAGCTTGAATTTTTACAAAAGCAGATACTTTCTTTTTTTTTTTGAGGCAGAGCCTCAAGCTGTCCCCCTGAGTAGAATGCTGTAGCATCACAGCTCACAGCAACCTCCAACTCCTGGGCTCAAGCGAGTCTCCTGCCTCAG